TATATATATATATATAAAATGAGAGAGAAAGAGGAATGCATGTATGGTACACCTGCCTAATAGTCGACTGCATCGAACAAGTGAGAATAATTAGCCCAATGTATATATGTATGTGAATATAAGTAAATAGAAAATCCTAGTGACAAAACTAAACAAAATATATATTTAATAAATGTAATATTATGTATATGTAAATGTAATATATACATGTTTATATAAATGTAAAATTTATATGATAAATATATGTGTTGTACACATATACATATTATATTATGTATATAATATAATGATTTTTTGTTTCTATATTTCCGTATCTATCATGCGTATATAAGTGTATTCTTTTACATAAATACACTGGGTATTTTATAGATAGTAATAGGAAGAAAGAGGGATGAATATACGGTACAGTTACCTAATAGTCAACTACGAAAGTAATTATTCCAACATATGTATGTACATATATATATATAAGATGCTATAAGATAAATATATATGTGTATGTTGATATATTATGTGTATATATAGGATTTCTTGTTTCTGTATAATATTATACTGGTTGTTACATTTGAAATAGATATACTCAGATATTTTAGATCCAACGATTTTATAAATAAATATTTGTAATTTAATCAATTTTCTAAATCATACACAATATATACATATTTATTATTACAATAATTATTCAAATTTTTATCGATAGAAGTCGATAAAGAAAATTTTTTTATTATGTTAAATCGTATAAGAGAAAATATAATAACCAATTTTCAATATGTACATACTTTTTTAATAATATATTCATAATATTCGATATATCGATTAGAATTGTATGAAATGAGACACCGGTTATATGGGAGAAAAATTTGCCAACGTAACTAAACGATTTATCACCTTTTCTCCTTTTTCTTTCTTTTCTACACACACAACACACACACACACATACACACATAGAGAGAGAGAGAGAGAGAGAGAGTCACAAATATATATATGGATCATATATGTATATATGCATATTCTACGTACATTTTCACAATTTGGAGTTATTTTCAAGCGTAGTATGGGGGTAGCAACGATTAAAAGGGAAGATTTAGAATGTCACCATGCCGTAAGTTGAATTCCTATTCTCCCTCCGACAAAGGGATGATCTTTTCCAACAGCAAAAATGTCGAGAATAGAAAAGAGAAAGAGAATGGAAGATAGAAGATGGTTTCATCCCTTATCTACGGAAGGATAAGGGGAAGAGAATTGGAAAGGGGTGGACATGCGGTGAGAAAAGGGAGAAAATAAAAAAAGGAAAGAAAAAGGCAGAAAAATGGAATCCAAAAAGGATGCCATAAGATCGAATACACACACGCACGAATCATGCATATACACACACGCACGAATCATGCATATACACACACACACATATGTATATACAAATACACTATCAATTAAAAGTTAAGAAACATTGGTTAATTTTTTTCAATAAATTCAAATATGACCTATAAATTTCAGAATAATTTCAACACGTTATGTTATTAAAAATAAAATGGTAATGTATATCAAAAAGCACGTTTTTGATAATTATGCGAAACGTGAATGAGAGACAGAAAATCACTTTTTTTATTAACGTTAAGTTTGATATAAATGAATGTTCAAGAAAAACATAAGCTATCTAATCAACATTTACATAACTGCTTTCATACTAGTTCACGTGAATATGATAACCCTAAAGAAGACTTTGTAGTTGATATTTTAATACAATTTTCATTTATAAATTATTCTACTAATGAAAGAAAATAAACAAGAAAAAAAATATATAAACAGAATGAAGAGAATAATAGATGAGCTAACGAGTTTTATACAAAAAATAAATTTTTTTTAAATTTAAAACTCGGTTAAGCTTGGTTTTATATAATATTTTACAATGACAAGAGAGAGGAATTAAAAGATGATAATATTAAAGTATGACAATGATGCGTACCTTGTCTCATAGTTTTTAAAAGTATTAGTAAATTTTAATTCTTTATTTCATACGCATAATTTTTCTTTTTTTTCTTCTTCTAAAAAAAAAATATTATTTCAAATGAAAGAAATATCGTACTTAATTTTATTATATTAAAATTCATCCAACGAAATTATTATTTGGGAAAATTTGTTAATTTCGCGTATTATATTTTCTCGCATAATAAGCATTGGATAGAATTTTGTAAAAAAAAAATTGTTGCATTTTAATTATACTTATTTCTACGTATGGCTACTTTTTATAAAATACACGAATGAAAAAATATTATAAAAATTACTGTATTCTTATTTAAAAAAAAATAATACTTATACATTGTCCAAATTACATTAATAAAACGTGAAAATATTTTAATTCCAAGTAGAATTTTTCTATAAATGCATGAATAAACATATTATAAACATTATTATTGACATCCTAACATTAATCATTTTTAAATATATTAATTTAAATAATCTACGGGAATAAAAATTATAGAACATTTTCTTTTATAATGTCTTATATTTCCAAGTATATATATATCTTTCACTTGATATAAATAAAAAAGAACAAAATAAATAAAAAACAAAACAAAAATAGAAATTAAAAGTTTACAAAAAAAAATATTTCAAATATTTGATAGATTAAATAATTAATAAAGTTCCCATCTTTGATTCTTTTATTTTATTCTATGATCCCAAAGGAAACGTTTGAATGAAAGATATTTTATATATTTATTTATAATGTATATATATAAACTTATATAGATGAATAGATAGAAACAAGGAAGAGAATCGAGCTGACGAGCGTTAGGGTGAAAAGCCCCTTTCTAGCGGTGAATCAACCCTCGACACAAATCGATAAACTACCCCTGTTTCCATTTGTTAAGACCTTAGCCGTTCAAAGGTATTCAGAAGTGTTCAAGACAATTTATCTCGGCGTATAAAAGGGTCACAACGATCTCTTCTATATACACCCTACAACCTACACCCTATACCCTATACCTTCTAATCGTTTAGTTAATCGAGCCGATAAAACCATCACCGATACAACATCAACCCCGTAAGAAAACAAAAACAGAGGAAAAAACAAAACAAAACAAAAATAAACAAAAAGAAAAAACAAATGAACGAGAACGAAACATTTCGAATGATTTTAACGAATAAACTTTATCATCAAACTGTACTACACTGTTATTAAAAAAAAAAAAAAAAGAGGAAGAAAATGTCACGAAAATTTATAAAAGTAATATTTACAAAAGTTAACGATCGAAAACAGAAATAGTTTAAATTCGCTGTGAAACCCTTTTTATTTATTTTTTTTCTTTTTCTTTTTTTGTTTGTACGGGTAAAAATAGTCGCATCAAAAAAATGTAAGGGAAATTGATTGAATATTTAAATAAAAATAAAATGTGCGATATATTTTATACGATCCAAAAAATTATGGATCGTAAATTACAGAAATATTTTGTCTAAACAAGGATTTATTATTATAATTATTATTATATTATAATTATAATAATAGAATCCCAGCAATTAATACTATCGATCGAGTATATCGTATTTCGATTAATTATTAATATACGTGACGTTTAAACTAATTTTAATAATAACCTATAATATATAATCGATAAATATCTATATCATGATTTAAATAACAACGTTCGATCAAGATAATAGATAAATAAATAAAAGAAAAATAAAAGGATTGAAAAGTTGATTTTTTGATCGATCGATTATTATGTTCCAATTTAATCGAGATATTTTCTTTAATATAAATACATATTATAATACTCTAATTGTAAATATTATAATAATATATCTTATACACACTTAATTCGATGTTCCTTACTTTTGTATACTCTTGTACCTCTTGAAAGGTTCTCGGAAAAGAATGTTCTGACGTTTATCATAATTGCATCTTGCGGTTTTCTCTCCACCCTTCTTCATCTTTTTCTTCTTCTACTTTCCCTTTAACTTCTATCCTCTTGCTTAATTTTTTTTTTTTATTTTATGCTACAAAACCAACGCATTTTCGAACAAGAACAGAAGAGAGTTAAAGAAAATTTGTATCCGGAATTTAAGTTTTTTTTTCGTTGAAAGAGACGAGTAACCATGAATTATGTATAAGACGATTTTCATTCCATTTTTCTTTCATAACTTTTTTTTTTAAAAAAAAAGATCATTTTTAGAAAGTTTATATCACGTTATTTCTTTTTCTTTTTTTGAATTTGAAAATACGACGATAATAATGAAAAAATCTTATTCTCTGAACAATTATTTTATTTTATTATCTATTAAATTTCTTATCACACATGGATGACACATACGCATGATGTGCTTAAGTATAGAACACGTAAAAAATTATATTTCTATAATACATAATAATTTTAATAGAAAATAATTCAGACAATATATTTCATATTATAAATAATTGAGTTATATAAAATAATACTGTTATAATTATTGTCAAATAAAATCTTTACAACCCGGAAGATCCCATAAGTACTATCAATATAATTATTATATATAACATTAATATATTATTTATATATAATATAAATAATTAAAATATATAAAATAAAACCTAAATAAAAATTATACAAAATGATTTGACTTGTTTAATACAAAACATTGTCATAACTATTGTCAAATGAAGTCCTTAAAACCCTCTAAGATTCCATAGATACTATGACTCTCTTATCTTAAAAAAAAGGGAACTTAATATCACCGATTTATCGTTTTCGTAAGAGCCTATATAAAGAGGCTTCTACTATATAGGTATAGCAATCAAGCAAGCATGCAAGCAAGAAACCAAGCAAGCATATAAGAAAGTAAGTAAGCAAGCAAGCAAGCAGGCAGGCATAGGGTCTTTCCTTCGTTGTATACGATACTACCAACCCTTTATACCCCAACCAACCCCTCAACCAACCCTTATTCGTCTCTCTCTTTCTTTCATCGTCTTATTCATCAAACTTTATAACGTTTCTCTCTTGAATGTAGACGATACACCTTAGGTATATAAGATATGTACCACTAACAATCTAGGACACCAAACAACCCTAATTCAGTTTACTTACACATGATTATTTTCACTAAAATTGACCGCAAATAAAAAAATATAATCATTATACATATTTTATGAATATAAATTAAATAAAAGTATTGTAATATTTTATTAAATAAAAATATCTATTTATCTGTAACCGAAAAAAGTTTTTATGGAATATTTTAATGTGAATAAAATGAGGATAATTAAACTATGATATAATAATTGTAAAATATAAAATGTTCGTAAATATTCAATGACAAATAACAAGAGAGAGAGAGAGAGAAAATAAAATAAATATGTGTGTCTGTGTGTGTTTAGCACACCTACTAAGAATGTATTAAGAAGACCTTTTCGATTCAATATAATTGAAATTACACAATTTAATGATTATTTTAGTAGCCCAAAAAGAAAAAATGTATGTTGCTTGATACGAAACTGAGTTCGTAAAGGAGAAAAAAATATGAAATTTTGTGGTAATTGAAAAATCCTTGAAAATAATATCGTGTACGAGGATAATCATACTGTACGAAGATAATCTCGATAGTTAGATTACTATAGTACTAGTACTAGTAATAGTAATAGTAATAGTAATAGTAGCAGTGGTGGTAATGATAGTAATAGTAAGAATCCAATTTTCTCTTCTTTTTTTTTTTTTCTTTTTTCTTTTTTTTTCTTTTTCAAAGAAAAGAATCGAAAGAAGTACAAGAAAAAAAAAACAAAAAAAAAATAAACGCGAAAGAGAGAGACGGAAGTTAAAAAAAAATAATAATAACGAGCAAAGGACGAAAAAGGGGTAAGGGAAAGGGAGAGGGTGAGGAGGGTGTTGAAACTCAAGAAAGCTCGATTATGCACGCGAGGATTCTTCGTAAGGAGGAAGATAAAAGAAAATAAAAGAGAGAGAGAGAAAGAAAAAAAATAAGGCTTTTATTCACGATAAATCGATCAAACTGATGGACCATGAACGAGACGATTGAAGGAAGGAGGTTAAATAGAATGAGAATGAAAAAATATCCATTCCTTATAGTTCTTGAGAAATAAAAGAAAAGAAACCACACCCGAAGTTAAATATTTAACAGTAAACCATCCTGTAATTTATAAAACAAATACATTATTTATTTCTATATAAAAAAAAATATTTTGTCCACTATTCAATTGGTTAAAATCTTAGTTTAGGTATATGGGGTTACTAGTTATAGTATTAGGGTATATGGTTTTTTTTTTATAAACGGTGGTCATTATGAATTGTCGATAAATTTAATGTTAAAACATATAAATCGGTGTTTACAAGACTAATTAATTATTATTTTATATATATAATAATTACTATTTTAATTTTATATATATATAACTATAAAATTATATGTATTAATAATAGGTTATGTTATCTCTCGATATTTTCCCCCATTTTTATTCTTGCTTTGGAAAATAATATAATTAAAAAAAAAAAGAGATAAAAAAGATATAAATGAAATTTTGAACGAATTTTCTTCTTCCTTTCCGATCCAATTTATTTTTTTGGGGGGTTTTTTTAACTTTCCTTGAAAAATATGTATTTTAAAATTAATATTTACATGTTGAGAGAATACTTTGTCAGTTTGAAAACTTCTTAAAATACCCAACCATCTAATACTCCTACATACAAACACACAAACATATATATATAAGGGAAGATTCGTGTCTACTTGGAAAGAAAGTTCAAAAACTTTCTTTTTTTCTTCGTTAAACGTGCGATAACGGAGTCCACGTCCTCGTCGTCGTCGTCGTCTTCGTCGCTTATGGTCTCGAACGATAACGAAAAACTTTAAGAATTTTTAAAGAGAGGAAAAGAAAAAGAGAAAGAGAGAGATAGAGAGAGATAGAGAGAGAAAGAGAGAAAAAGTTTAACCGTAAAACCTTAGAACAATTAATGTTTATACGTGTATACGCAATATTACTATAATATGTAATACTTATTTCAATAATTGTATCTTTTTATAAAATTCTCCAAAGTTCTATTAAAAATTATTTTTATTTTTGCAAACATAGCAAATTTTTATTTTGCATAAATAATAATAATAAAAAATAAAACAGCACATAAATACACTTCCAACGCAGATACAAACGAATGCCAGAGTTTTAACGTCAATTTTTTGGCAAACATTAATAAAAATTATTATTATTATTATTATTTTTATTTGATTAATACTTTGTCAGGACAAAAAAATTGTTCAATTCGATACAATACTTTTGATACAAACATTTTGTTTTTGATTTAATACAATATATTAAAAAAAAAATCAACAACTATTACTAAATTATAAAGAAATATACTTTTTTTTTTCTAGAACGATTTGCTATTCTTCTTTTTTTGGTTTTCTTTTTGTTCTTTATTTTCATTTTCAGAAAAAGAAAAGATTGTATTCTTTAGGGGCGGGGGTAAGTTTTATATACTTCGTTATTTAATTACAATGATTTTTAGATGTTTCCGTAAAACGGGCATTCCTTATCGGGTAAATATTGACACGTTGGTGTTGGTGGTACCTCGCACAAACATTTCATACAAGATGAAAAATCTTCAGATGATTGGCTCAATTCGTCACCGAGATGCATTGTCAAATTACCAAATTTACAAGTCATATTTTCTGAAATATTATATATAATTAATTAACAGAAACTGTGTTATTGTGTGTTTCTTTAAACCTTATTCAATGTTAACATTAAACAAAAATACTCAAAATAATAAATTTTCTCAACAATGTAGAATCTTCAAGTGAGAGAAATTTGTTGTTTTTCTATTATAATTAAATAAATAAATAATCGTACCGTCCTCATTTGGTCCAGCATGTTTAGCTTCATCATGATTATGAATGACAGTGTCATTTGAGTTCTCTGTCGAAAAATTATCGAACGTTTGTACATTTTACGTTTCCAATGAATTTTAATTAATTGTGAATTATTCACATAGTATAGTCCATAAATCAATTGACATTAACATTTAATGATTTGATATTGCTGTTGCTTGGCAAAAATTAATATTTAAAATATCGAAGAGAAAAACATTTATTTATTATCCATTGTATGGTATAAAAATTTATAAGTGAATTTAGAGAAGAATTATAAAATTTTCTTTGATCAATTGATTAATAGGACACTATGTATATCTACTCACGGCATCTCGTAGCAAAACTGCAACTCTTTTGAGGTGTTTGATCAGTGTAATAAACAGGTGCGCAGTTATTCTGAATATTACTAGGATTTCGAAATTCCGGATTACAATAATCACGATTTGGTTTCTTGCAAAACGGTTCAACGTTCTTTCCTATACAAAATTAATAAATAAATTAATAATAGAATGTTTACTTTTTTTTCTAATCTCTATCCTATTTTGGTTTTGTTTTTGTATTGTATCATTTAGTTTGATTAATTCTCACCTTTGTAATCAGGTTGACAATAACAAGTATTATCGGGATTAGATTCGTCTGTGAAATATTCACCGTCCAAATAGACTTTACCGTTAACTTCACACTTTGGTCTGTCTTTAATATCGTCGACTAAAAAAAATAAAAATAATAATAATAATAAAAAGGTAACTCGTCGAATTTAGTATTATTGATATAATCAAACGTCGTCATCTTTCTTACGTAAGCACACACATATACACAAGAGACGACTATGTTTGAATATTATTAATCAGATACAAGATTTCTCACTTTCACTTATTTAAAATATAATTTGAAAAACTCACGACAAACTTGTGGACCGGGACAACACTTGTCCGGTGAATGTTTTAAATAACAATTTGGTTCTACGGGACCATGGAAACAATCGACTATTGCACACGTGAACGAAGCTCTGTGAAAATAAATTTATTTTATTATAAAAAAAAAAAAAAATAATAGGAAAGAAAAAAAAACAATGCAATATCCGAATAAATTTCATTTCTAAATGCGAATAAAATCATTTCAATAATATTCACACGCAGATGAGAGATATGTATTTTTATTTATTTTAGAAAAAAAGAAAATTATAGAAAACACTTACCTCCCATCGTATCCCTCACGACAGAAACAACCGATATCGCAAGGATTGGCATCTTCCTCTCTTAAATTTTCCCCGATTGCATATTCGTGACCATTAATGTAACACTTATTTTTAGATCTTGATTTTAACTTATCACAATTATAACGAATAGCACAACAGTCACCTTCTTTCTCATAAACGGGATTGCAACCCAAACTATCGTAATATTTTAATGGTCCGGGACATTTGCTTGGATCACATGCTTCATAATTAAATCATATTAATAATTATTTATATTTTTATTCAATAAAAATAAAAATAATAATAATAATAATAATTTTAATAATAATTAAAAATAAAGTAAATTTATTTAATATTTTTTTCTCAGTATATCACGTGCTTCGTATTATCAAAAAAAAAATCAATATATTATAATTTAAAATGAAAATAAATTCATCTATGATTCTTATTCGATATAAGATAAAAAATTACGATACGAGAATTTTCAAATTAAATCGATTACGATTAAAAATGAAGAAAAATCTTTTTCTTCTTTTATTTCTTTCAACGAATTTTTTTTTTACTTCATATTATTCGTTTCCGAGATTCTATTATACTTCTTCTTTTCTTTTTTTCTGTTTTTTTCTTTTCTTATTTTTTTTAATACTTGAACTCACCTTGCTCAGCGTAGGTGGGTACGATAATAAAGAGAAGAAGAAATCTCGCACATTTTTCAAATAGAGAATGAGAATTACAACGTGTCGTCATGATCGAGGATCTCGCGAAAACTCGTTGTCGTTCTTAGTCTACCTCGTATCTTTTATACTTTCGAATGGTCTCTATGTTACGCATATATATACACATACACACACACAAACATATATACACAACATTGGTACGAGAAGTAAAAACGAAAAAGAGGGACATAAAACTGTGTTCATACGTACATATCCAAATGTATCAACGTATGTGTGTTAAATGAGGAAGGAGGAAGAGTGAAGGGGGTGGAGGAGGAGCAGGTGGAGAGGGAAGAACACGAGTTGAATAAAAGTGGGAGAATTGGTTTGTTTATCAGCCGCTAGTCTAACGTAAAAGACTTTACGTACATGTGTGTATCTGTGTATTTGTTAGAACTCATTACATTCAATACATTTTTATATACGTTTGTATGAGTGGAAAAACTGGTATTACTTCAATTTACTACATTTAAAAGATTCCAATATATACATGTGTGTGTGTATAAGTGTAGGGAGACTCGTATTACTTCAACTTATTATATTCGTATATTCTAACATATTGCTTGCATGTGTATGTGTATGTGAAATAAAAAGGGGGGAAAAGAAAAGAAAGAAAATGTCAAGTATCATTGACATATTAATTTATTATCCGATATCAAAGAAGAAGAAGCCTTGAAAATAATAATTTAACGATATTACTATCGTAGAAAATTATTTAATAATAATTAGGTTAATTATTGATTAATATATGAAAACTTTTTCATCGATCTCGATTGTGTAAGATTTTTTATTTTTCCAAGAAATATATATATGTGTATAAAAATGTGATAATAAAATTATTACGATTGAACGAACGAACGTTGACTGAAATCAATAATTATATAATCGATTGAAATACCAATCGATCCACCTTGAATCTTCAAAATTTTTAAAAATAGAATATGCGTTTATATTTTTGTTCACTTTTCAATGTGGCTCGTATATTTAAATAAATAAAAATAAATTTAAAATATATATGTATGTTAGTTACCAAAAATTTATTTTGATAAAAATTGAAGAAAAAAAAGAAAAAATAAGGAAGAGAAAGAAAATTATTAATGAAAAACATTTGAGATCGTTTGTTATTCCGATGGATGGAAGATAAATTATAATTTTTATTTTATTTGTAATGTTTTATCTTTTGCATTCTTGGAAAAAATTCTATCGGTAAAGACCCGTTTTACCCGTTTTAATTGAAATCATTTTCCTTCTCATAAATTAACGGATATATACACGTATATACACATATATACAAGTACAAACATCATATATAAATATGTATATAATAATTATACGAACCATAATAACGATAATACGTTCTATGGAAAATCCCGAAGTAATATGCAATAATCGATCGTGCACAATTTGTAGATAAGAATTAAACGAAACAAGAAATTCGACATAACTCCTATTATATTCTTCATTTTGTTGTTTTTTTTTTTATTTTAATTTTATTATTTTTATCTACATCCACGACCTATAAAAACTAAGCATTCGATTAAGTAAGCTACTTACTAACTATATTAATTACGAGTCATTACAGTGGTAACACTCGTATCGTATCGTTCGATAAAAGTTTATTCGTGCAACTAAAGTTGCACTCGTGATGTTGTAAATTAATGCATATTTTATAACAGCAAAAAAAAACGAAAGAAAAGAAAGAAAAATTATTTTTAATGAATTGACGCACGAGAGGTAACAATGTCTTCCTCATTCGCGACCTTGAAAACATTTTATGACGTTAGACTATTATATCATTTTTGATAGTTAATATGCACATGGTTAAATATTTGAAAAAGAAAAAAAGACAGCAATAATATAAAATATGTTAATATTTTGTTGACCTTGACAACTTTGAAGTACACGTGATTGGTTAGTACAACGAGTATGAGAATTAACTTCTTGATAGTCTATACAGACAAACAGAGAGAATTTCAAGGCCAACTAATTGATCGATATCTTCTTCACGTACATACTTACTTACTTACTTAAGTTCATGTATGTATTATATAAAATATGCATGTATGCATGGAGTACATGTGTGCTTGTGTACGTGTGTGTGTAGGTGTTAAAAAGATAAATTTAAAAAAAATCTCTACATATAAATCTCAATATTTAAACAAGGAGTATCTTATTTTTTTTCAATTATTCATGATGTATTATATTATGTGTAATTTAACCGAACGTGCAGCTTATTTTTAATCTTTAACGTTGTTTACTTTGTTTCACGCTTATCGTATATTTTTTTTTTCATGATAAATATCCACATGATCGTTCTTAAAATAACAAATTTAACTCTGCCGATCAATATTGTTATCAACATTTAAATATTTCAACAAACATCACAGATTATTATAATGAATTCATTCAATTAGATTAATGTATCGTCATTAATAAATAAATAAATAAATAAATAATAATAATAGTGATAAATAAAATAAACCTAATAAAAACAATCAATAATTATATATATATATATATATATAATGTAAAGAATATGTAAAATTAGTAAATAATATGATAAAAATAATAAAATATGATTTTGTAAATATTTCATAAGAATGCATTAAATTTAATAATAATAATAATAATAAAGTAGTATTAAATTATAATTAATATCCGTATTTAAACATATTTAAACAGAATATTTGTAATAATTTGGTTAAAATGGAAATGAGGTCATTTTTTTTTTATATATAAAACTTATTCAAGTAATATCGAAAGTTATTCTCATATCGATGATCAAAGTATAGAAAAGGGAAATACGATTTTATTGAAAAGGCAGGGAAAGAAGAAAACTCGTGTAAGTGCGAACGATGACAAAGGGAAAGAACCGATCGGCCGGTTTATGGGAATCCAATGACACGAGAACAGAAAAGAAGAAGAAGAAGAACAACAACAACAACAACAACAACAAGAACAGAAAAGAAAGAAAGAGAGAGAGAAAAAAGTTTATATTTATATCTACACATATACATACGTATATGCAACACGTATGCACGTATATATATATATATATATATATATATATTTAGATGTACATGCATTTCTGCAATATCTTACACGTGGATAAAATTCACAAAGGATTCTTGATATCGTGTCGTGATCGCGTGTGGTGTGGGTTCGTCCCTTTAAAGGAATATTTATATAAATAAAAAACAAAAAGAAAGAAAATAAACTGCAAACGTCGAAAGGGAAAAATTTTATTAAAGCAATATCTCATACGCGAGATCAAAACGTATTATTATCCTCAAATATTTCTAAAGTATTTCTAAAACATATATACATAAATTATTATCTTGTGCGAAAAATTCGACGAATAATAAATTGAAAATAAACAAAAAACTATTCTATAATTCAAACTCTAGACGGGCGTTCGAATATCTATTTAAAATTTCTATCAAATTAAAAACAAATATGAATCAATTTTAATCTATTAATCAATATACCTTACAAACTTTTTTAAAAGTTGGAATATAATTTCATTAAAAAAAAAATTCTACAAATAATTAAATAAATATTTATTATAAAAGCAAAAAATCATGTATATCTAAATATAGAATGAAATTTAAGCTAATTGTATATCGAAAAAAATATTATCTATTATTTAAAAAATTAATAAAATTGTACATTTAACACGTTTCTATCGTATTTTTACAAATTACAAAATGAAATTATTTGATTAGGTACGTAATAGTTTTAGAAGTGTCAATAATTGATGGTCTAGAATTGATTGGAATTAAAATAAATGAAGTTGTGTGTGAATAAGACATAAGTCTTTGAATAGATCATAGAAAAAAAGAAAGACAGAAAGAGAGAGAGAGAGAGAAAGAGGGAACTGGGTTTTCTTATAGAAGATCTAGAGACCCTAGAGCACTAGATTTCAAAACTTTGGAATAGCATTTTGCGGCTCGTAGGGAGAATATATTGGCAAAGTAAAGAATCGAGTTTGCGAGAGAAACGTTCCGGCCAACATAAATTCGGTCAACTTAATACAACAATGTTTAACGGCCTCGGTAAACGCTAACTTTTCACATACACGTTCACACACGTTCATATACCAAATACATACATACATACATACATACATACATACATACATACATACATACATATATATAAAGTCCTAGATCTTCGTTCTTGAACGTCTCCAAAACACCAGAAGCAGCCAAAAGCAGAACTAGAACCAGAACCAGAACCAGAACCAACACTAGCACTACCAACAACAACAGCAGCAGCAGCAGCTTGCGGACTGTTCTAGCAGGTTCCACGAACTTACGAAATTCCTTCGCGGTAAGCGTTCTGCACAAATTCTCTAGAACGCGATATCGCAACGTAAGGAAGTTTAAAGTCGTCGTTATCATTTCCCGTTACAGACAAAATAGATGTTGCTAAGGTTCCTGTTGTTATTACTATCGGTAGTGGTCCAGTATGTTTTATAACAGTTGTAGTCAACTTGATCCTTACCACCCAGTATAGTAGGGTGTTCTTGGTTTAATAATGGGTTTGGTAAAGTGTCCAATACTCTTATCCTATACTGAAGAAATACTTCCCCTTTTTTTCTTTTTACATATATACGTTTAATTGTGAAATTTTATATTTTAATTTAATTTCGATATGAAACAATAAATTGTAATATAAATTATAACTGTTAAATTGTAATGTAATTTCAGTGAATATAAATATATATACTATAAGAACAAAAGCAAAATTAAATAAAAAAATAAAAATTAACGGAATACAATAGACATTTAAAACGAAAACAAGAAATTTTACAATTAAAAAATTCATCAAATAAAAATTAACTTGGAAGAAAATCACGCGTGCACATACAGTTTATAAAAAAAAAAAACGTATATAATTAGCAATAAAATGAAAAATCTAATAAGATCAAACACAAAGAAGTTCAAAGTTAAAAAATTTACGCTAAAAAACTATTTAAAGTTGACAATATTCTTAGCATTAAATAAACCGTCCGACACGGATTACGTACTAATTTATTAATCGACTAACACCACGCCAAAAGAGAAAGACAGAGAGAGAGAGAGAGA